AAATACGTTCATCTTATCATTATTATGTGTCCTTTAATGTGAGGCATACTCTTTCGAACAGATGAGTACGATTGAACGATAAAAATGCTTTTGCATAATACAACGTTGCATGGCCAACGATTAATAACGTCTTATATGTCTCAGCAACCACCGCAGATATAAACATCACTCATCACAAAAACGACATAAAATACTGTAATTAGCGCTAATGTGATCGCAATATCATTAATAATATCTACATCTCACATTAGGGAGGAAGCTGTGACAGCGTAAACGACGCTGCTTTTGAAGCAGGTCGCTCGCTATTATACTTAAAATAAACTTTTAAAAATCAGCAAAAACATCAAAATATTTACGATAGACGTTGCCGTGTACGCCGCGTGCCGGCATTCCCGGACTCGGCGATGTAGGTCAAGGGCAATTTAGAAAGTAGGTCAAGGCTATGTGTCGCTCAATGTACAGCTCGTGACAAAAGTGTCCCGCCTCTTGCCGCTCAAGTAGGTCAAGGCCATGTGTCGCTGGCTCGGCACGAGAAAGTCTTCCCTAATCGTTTATCGCAAATATCTGAACAACCACCCAAGATGTGAAAATGATTCAAAAAGGACTGTTTAGTTTATACACTGCGCTATTGGAATATCTCGATTTTGTTACTAACACGTGCGTCCTTCCGTTTATTTAACACGATAAAGCGCGCGCGAGCCGTAAAGATCGGGCGCCAAGTGATTTCTGACTTTTATAAAACGCTTATATCTCGGCGACCGTAAATGATAGAAAGATGATTAAAAAAAGACTTTGTACTTGGTATTTTGTCCTATTGGTATTACTCACGTGTACTACTAGCAATTATGTACTTTTGTTTATTAAAGCAATAAAGCGCGCCGAGCTGGCCAAAAGAATCGCGCGCCCCGCCGCATTCATCATTTTCATTAAACGTTTATATCTCCGCAATCGTGAAAAACAGAAAGATGATTCAAAAAGCACTTTTTCAACTGTGCTCTGTTCTATTAAAATTGCTCACTTTTATTATTGGCAATTATTTATTTCCGTTTATTAAGACGAAAAAGCGCGCAAAATCTTTAAGATTCAGGCACCAAATGATTTTTTATTTTCATTAAACGCTTATATCTCGGCAACTGCAAACGATAAAAAGACGATTCAACAAGCACTCGTTAGTTTGAAATCTGCCCTATTGGAATTTGTCATTATTAATACTGGCAATTTTACAGTTCCGATTTACTAAGACGAGAAAGCGTGCGAGATCTTAACGAAACGTGCGCTGAGCGACTTTTTATTTTCATTGACGTTCTCCGGAAAATCGATTTTCTCTAGATTTTCTTGAAACTGTGAATATACCTTAATTTAGGTGTGCTTTATATGTGGTATAAATTTCAGTAGCTCTTGCGGTATTAAAAATCGATATACTGAGCTTCAAAGTTTCAACTTTTAACATGGGATTCTTATTCCGAGTTATTATAAAACAGACATTATAATGAATTGTAAAAAAAGTTTTCTCTAAATGTTTTTGAAAAACTAGTATATGATGCTCCATAAAAATAGAAATAATATGCGATAAGTGTCAATACCCTTGCGGTACTCGGTTTCGAGAAATACTTGTGTAAAGTACGCGATTTGGTGAATTTTTCGCTTGGTTCAGAGTAACAGAAGTGCGGAGAGGCGTCAGTTACTCGGCAACACTGCATGAGTACTCACGCGTGAAGTTAACTTCTTATTTTTTAGATGTTATTATATATGTAATATTTTGTATATAAACAATTAACTTCAGTAAAATAAATTATAAGTTGAGCACGACTGGAGCCGGAGAACGTCCTTAAACGCTTATCGTATATGTTTCGGCAATCATAAATGATATAGATATAGAAAAATTATAGAAAAAAACTAAGATATGGATTTAGTCTTTTTTTTCTCTTTTACAATGTTTTTTTTAAGCTGATTTCATAGACTTTTGTTAAGTATTTTTGTTGTGCGCCGACTCCGGAACTATATCGAAATCCGAGTCATTGGCTAAAATTATATGGAATAAATATGTTCTCGTCAAGATATAAGATAAATTTATATTATTTGGTTCACTGTCATCAAAATCGCCAATGTACAATGATGGTTTAATATTGACAATTTATATAGTGTCGATCGTAAAACTATAATACCTATGCTTTTTATCGTTACGGTTAATTTAACGGCAGTCGTCAAGATATATATATATATACGATTGAACGGTATAACTTTTCGGCACATTGTTACGTTTCTTAAATTTTGGGATTTTGACTTTTCGGGACAATATACGAGTTTTCAAATTTTGGTACATTTTTTTCGGGACTTTGCAAGTCCACCAATAATTATGAGAATAAATAAAATATGTACGATTAATACTAGTTTCTTTAATTTTTCAATATAAATTTAAAGATCTAAAAGGATTATACGTTTATATTTCCGATGTAATATATTAAATTTTTTTTTTTAATTTTGAAATATTAAACGTTTTAAACAATCGATTAACACATCTATTTCTAAATATCAGATATCTACTTGTCTATTTAACTGCATCAATTTCTTGATATTTAGATTACCGTTTATCTTCAAATATTTAGGACGATAGAAACGGTTCCTATTATTTTTTATATCAAGATAAAAACATTTAGTAGATCATTCAAATATCATTTTAGATGTAAAAATCAGAAAATATTTTTGGAAAATGAATATTGATCGCGTTACAAACATTTTTTAATTGTCTCTTAATTGATAAATTAGATAGAATCTTACATTATTAGGATCGAGGCTACATGATATGGTAATAGTTTAGACATTGCTTATTCTAGACTTAGGTGTTACTTCATCAATAATTGTCATATATCGTTGAGTGTATACATATATACAGGATGTTCCAGGTCAGGTCAATAAAACTACAGAGTCTTATAGGAAATTGAATGTGGGGCAAAAAAGTTCCTATAAACATAGGTCCGGAAACGTTTCGCGCAGAGTTCGTCGAAAGACGTACGAACGAAGATCAAAGAGTAAAAAAGGGATAACGAGGAGGCTGCTCGTCAAAAGAAGAAGTATTCTATAGCCCAGGCATCGATAATGCTGCGTAAGATAAGAAAAAATTTTATTCAACAATTTACCCACAGCATGCAGCTATTAATTAGTGTCACTGTCACGTAAAACTTTAAACGCAATTTTCTCGAAACGGTGCTTTTAAAAATCGGTACCAGAAATATCTCGGAAACTAGTAAACCGATTTGCATGAAATTTTTTACAGTTACTCTCAATTCTCAATACACAATAGTACTAAAAAATTCGAACTTGTAAAATAAATAAATAACTATGGTTATAATGCAAAAAGCCTCTGTGAACTGATTTGTAGACAATTATGGTAAACATTTGTATTAAATATGAAATTAACCGAATAACGTTTTCAAGTTATCGTTACAGTTTTAAAAAAATGTTATACTAAAAAATGGACACAATGATGTTAATACTCACTATAAAATACAATTTTTTATATCAAGATATTGTGCATATTAAATGTACTTAATAAAGATATATAACAACAATTTCATATTTCTATTAATTTATAACTTTTTACAATTCGCGACCCAAATTTTTCCTAATTTTTACTTTTATCAGAGTCTTGTAATCTCTTAATTAATAGTGTAAAACATTGGTTCTATGATTGCATCACATTAGTTCTATGAATGTAATTGAAATGAACAATAACTGACATTTTGAATAATCGCTCAATCTTCCGTTAGCCATTTATACAATAATATAATTAAAAATTAATTATATATGGTAAACTAAACTTTTAATAAAAAAATTTTTTTATTTTTCATATTAGCTTATATTTAAGAATACACATGGCTACCAAATATTAAAATTTTTTTAAATGATAGCACTGATATACTTTACACGCAGAGAACTAGGTACTAAACTAGAATCTGGGGATCAATCATGTATATTTTCCCCTAGGACGTAAACGTGAAAAGTGGAAAGTTTATCTCTTTCTATTTAACACTAATAGAAAAAGATAGTTACATGAAACTTTTCACTTTTCACGTTTCCGCTCTAAGGAAAAAGTTATATACATGATCACTACCCAGAACTCGACTCACTCTATTCGCAAAGAAAAGGGGATGAGCGAGAGGGAGAATTGCGGCCAACTGTCCTTTTTTGTTGGGCTGCTTTCAGTAATTCAACCTACAGCATTAGGGGCTGCGCACAATGAAAGGAACAGAAAACACGGCACAGGGAACAGGGAATAGGGAATAAGGAACAGTTTAATATTAACATATGCATTATTCACATGGCATGCAAAATATAAAATAACATTTTATTATTGTTTCTTAACGCTATTTATTTGTTCGTCTATTCTGTGTTAATGAATTACATATGTTAATGAATTTATATTAATATTGAACTGTTTCCTATTCCTTTTATTGTGTGCAGTTCCTTAGAGTCGCAGTATAAGTATACACAGTAGAGAGACTGAACTTTTTTCGTGGTAATAAATTTTATCCTAGGAATATCCAGGAATATGGCGGCTTGTATGTATGACAAAGAGAAAGATTCTTCTCTCTCTTTCTCTCTTAAGCGTTCGTACAGCCCAGAAGATGGCGGTGAGTCCGTGACCTGGGATCCACTACATCAAAGGTGCCGACGCTCAGTGTCACTACCCTATGTACTTATACTAGGGTGCGTTCAGGAATTACGTTTAGGCGTACTTAGGTAACTCTAATGCTATAGTGTACGTAACTATAGCTTAGAGTTACCCAGGTTAAATTTTTGAACGCAGCTTTGTATTAGAGTAACCTAGGTGTGCCTAGGCATAATTTAAACGCACCCCTGCTGTAATTTACGTCCCAATTGAATACCATTGACCAATCAAAAGTCTGCTAAACAGAGGGAGAACGGTCGTAAAGCAATCCGTCTTTGTCTTCTCGTAACCCGGGCACTAGCATGGGAGTTCACATTCCAGTGTTGTATATAATTCTATGGCTTAGTTTACACCGTAGAAACTCTTGATACGAGTATCAAGCTGGTGCGGACTAAGTGTTAGATACGTTTCTGTTTACATCGACCGTGTTAAATCATATTAGAGATTTTTTCAAGACGTTTTTCAATTTCGATTACGTATAAAATGGTATCAACTTGTATGTATTAAGCAAATCAGACAGCACATTAAGAATGCATTTGATACGCGTATCAACTTAGTCAGATACAGGCTGTTCTCGAGTATCGTACCATTCTCTGATACTCCATCGTTTACATCGATCGTACCAATGGATTTAGTCCTAATATAATATATACTTACAATTAGTATGCGTATCAAATGCTTGGTGTAAACAAGATTTACACGCTGAAACTTAAGACGGTAATCATATGTATATACTAAATATTCACTTGTCTGCCTATGCATATTGAGTTTTTATTCGTATATTTGATTTACAATTCGTATATTTGATGTACAATTAAAATTTTAAAGCAAAAGAATCACTAACAAGAATTCATGGCAAAATCAAAAGTCTGATAATTGCGATCATATCCAAAATCAAACTACACACGGGTCCAGGAGTTTTAATTTTAATACATCTAAGGCGACACTTTATTTCAAAGTATTTAACCTTTTTGCTATGGTGGCGTTGGCCGAATAGCGATTATGAGGTATGGCAGCATAAGTCGCCAGCGTTCCCCTTGGAGCGAAGAAGTGCTATGACTCCACTGTTTTAACTCGTTGCATTAAAGATATATAATTTTTCAAGCATAAAAGTAAAACGGGATTTACATAAGTGCAAAATTCTATTTTAAAATTATATTTTATTATTATTTTAAACTTCGTATTTAATGCGCTACAAGCAAAGTTAATACCAATACGACTATGCCTGCTATAGCCGGAGCTAGTATCTACGAATGTCACATAGATGCCGGCTACAGACAACATTAGGAGCGAAAAGGTTAATGGTTGTGGGAAATAAAGATGACTTTTACTAAAAAATGCCGAGCAAATAGGTTGGCTAAAAACAACATTTATACAAAATGCGTATTGTGAAGTACTCATCAATGTACGTTGTTCCATAGAATAGATTTTTAAATTAAAGTGATAAATAAATATGAACAACTTTGGTAGGTTTCATAAAAACTTACATTGCAAATATAATGACTAACACAAAATTCAACATACACCAATTTCTAAAGAATAATATGATGTTGATCTCCACCCTCGTTATTATTCTTATATACTGGAAGTGTATAAACAACTGCCAGACCATTTTGAATATTGAACTTTTTCTCTAGAGAACACATACCAGTTTCAAAAAAGGTAAAAAAGAAACGTGCGTAGTGTACGTGCTCCATACAAAATCTTTACTGAAAAAAATTTTTATCTAATTTGATCGTATAATTCCACTAATATTTTTTACTACAAAAACAATGACAGCAGAAGGGCCCAGTGGACAGTTGACACCAAGTGTTTTTTATGTGTGAATCTAAATAATAAAAAACCGGAACAAGTTGTAACGCTGTTTTAAAAAAGAACAGGTACACAACAAGTATAATAAAAAATCATCATTAAGAAAACCAGATGTTACTAATTTATCATATTTACTTGGCGCAAACTGTTTGATATTATTATTTTTGTGGAAAAAAATACAAATGGCATTATAACACCAAATTAGATTCAAATTTTCTTTCTTTAATAAAGTTTTTGTATGGAGCACGTACACTTTGCGTGTATTTTAAACTTTTTTGGAAAAATATAAGTTTTATACATATGTACGTTTTAGTAATTGGACAAATTTAAACTATATATCCATATATATAAACATACATCTTAATAAATAAACCATGCCTTCTTTTATCCATTGTGACAAATTTTACAAACGCTTATTGTTGTGGCGATCACTGTATCACATTCATTATCAGACGATTAATCTGTATTACAGGACGGTTATAATTGCACTGACAAGAAAACGTAGCAAGTTGTGGAATTATTTCGAGAAGTTGAATCATTCGCTGGTGAAGTGCACGACCTGTAAAAAAGAAATTAAGACACCTAATCCAACAAGACGCACAAAAATAATGAAAGCACACATATTAAATGTACATGGAATATCTCTTGATGATGAGACTGTCACACTACCTGACGACTTAAAACAATATTACTCGGAGTTAACGGGATATAAGGCAAAATGTAATAATTGTGGCAAAGCAGTGTCTTTCTTAACAAATATTGAAAATTTACGAGTACATTTAAGAAGACATTCAATCCTTCCAACAAGAATCCAGAGTCGAAATGAGTAAGTACACAATCAAAAAATTATTAAAATATTATTATAAAATAAATGTAATGATAAAACAATCAGTAGCCAAAGAAAATTGAATAAATAAAAGTTTTTATTGGGGCACTCATATAATATTTATTTGCAATTTTGATCATAAATGTACACGTACACTTGGTGCGTCTTTTACCTTTCTTTGAAAAAGATATGTTTGGAGATTTGTACACGATCTGATAATTATGCAAATTTTAACTGTATAGGTATATATTCATATTAAAACATACATATCCTAATAAATAAACTATGTCTTTTTTTCTTCTTTGTGAGAAATTCTACAAACGCTTGAAGGCCATCACTGTATCACATTTAATATTAGACAATATGTATTACAGGACAACACCGACAAAAAAACGCAACAAGTTGTGGAATTATTTCGAGGAATTGAATCCTTCGCTGGTAAAGTGCACGACCTGTAAAAAAGAAATTAAGATATCTCATCCAACAAACTGCACAAGAATATTTAGAGTACACTTATTAAATGTACACGGAATATTTCTTGATAATGACATTTATACACTACCTGACGACTTAAG